TTTTTATTGCTTTGTTTACAGCATTTTGCCTCTAGACTTATACTTTACATTTTGGGTCTTAAGTTATTGTAACAAGGAGATATTATACGCCAAAACCTTTTGCAATAATTTTTTGGTTGTAGATTACTGAAAGAAGAATATGCGACTTATTTTGAAATTAATTTGAATATTGCACAAAATCTTTTTTAGGTATATACTTGAATTTTTCAGGTATATAGTTGAATCTGAAAAGCTTCCTGTTTATCCGGCTCACATGTGTAGTGACTGTTATCGTGGTTTTTTTTATGACGGCGATTACAAACCAGACAGGGATTCAAAGGCATATTTTTATGCTGATCCTGCCACCTTAGCTTTATGATAGTTGTTTTCCGACGAGTACAGTCATCTCTGTGTGCTACGTTTGTTTTTTTTCTTCGCATTGTTTTTGTACTTCACTTGATATTGTGTTTGTTGTTGTGACTGTAATTTATGATTTCTTATCTAGAAGCAGGTTACGGTAGTGTTTTTTATGTTTGAATTTTTTCAATAAACCAAGAAACAGTTGTTCATTTTCCAATTGAAACTGTGTATTCATTGGGTTTATTTTGAAATTTTCGCGTTTTTCAATGATGGTTTAGCTGGTGTCGCCCTCATTATTATTTTTTGTGGTAGAATAAAATCGTATTCGACTTGAGAGATTTCATTTTTTTTTATTCCCTTAAAAATAGCTAGTTAGAAACCATTTTATATCGGGAAGCGCGTGGCGTTGATCTTCTTGACTTTGCCTTGATTTTTGGGCTTGATCCAGGTGTTTTTTGAACGATTTTGCTGTTTACGAGTTGAAGTGGTTGGTTTTTGTAACATCATTTTTTCAACGTGCATCTTTAATGCTTGAGAGAAGTTTGATGTTATGAGACTTTGGTTTATTGGTGAGGGGTACTCGTGGTGCGTCTTCGAAGTTTTAATTTGGTTAAGAATTTGCCAAACTATTTAATTACAGTGAGATGGAGGTGGAAGATGGTGAGGGTGATTATGAAACACTTGTGAGGATGCAGAACCGCAAGAAACGGAAAGCTGGTGGATGGCAAAGCTTCGGTATGTGATGCTCTTTGGTAGGGTTAGGCAGTTGGTGTTTCATGTCCCTCTTTCACCGTATTTGATTCTTTTTGGGACAGGTCAGGTCCTGCTGTGTTGTTTCGATCTTTATTTCCATCTTCAGGTTTGGACCATGTAGTTTTTAAGGGAGTAGAAAAGAAGGGTTATCGTCAACCAACCCCGATACAAAGGAAAGCAATTCCTCTGTTAATTGATGGAAGAGGTTAGTTTTAACTATTATATGGATTTTTTTCATACGGGTTAAGTGAGGGACTAGAAAATGAGCAGTTCTAGTCAAGTAATACTGCAAACTTCAAAAACCTGCTCTCATACTTTTATATCATTATCGTTTTACAGATGTGGTTGCCATGTCCCGAACAGGCAGTGGAAAAACAGCTGCTTTTGTTATTCCAATGCTCCAGAAATTGAAAAGAAGAGAGGTCTTGGGAACACGGGCATTAATAATCGCTCCTACGAGAGAGTTGGCTATGCAGACTTTTAAATTTGTCAAAGATGTGTGTATTTGTTGGCTTTTTAGACTGTGTTGCAGCTTCTTTAAATTTTAATTGTTCTCCTAGCAATGTAAATTATGTACCATTTTTTAGCTAGGTCGGTTTACCGGGCTGCAGGCCGCAGTGCTTGTAGGTGGTGATAAAATTGAAAATCAGTTTGCAATTATCCATGAAAAACCAGATGTGTGAGTGTTCTTACTTTGAAAAGTTCATCCTATTTCATCTTTGTAAAGTTGTTTTTTAAATTGATGTTCCCTAATATTTACCTCATTTTTTTACTTCCTTTCTTCTCTTTTCTTATTTCGAGACCTTTGAGGTTAATTGCTACACCTGGAAGGCTATTGCATATTGTCGTAGAGATGAATTTGAGTCTCTCAACAATTCAGTATTTCGTTCTTGATGAAGCGGATCGCTTATTTGAAATGGGGTTTGCTGATCAGCTTAAAGTTGGTGTTTCATGCAAGCTATGCTCCTAATCACCATCTTTTAATTTAGTATTCATAATGGCTGTACCTTGCTGCCTATTCAGTGTCTAACTGGGTCTTGAAGTTTTTAAGGAAGTATTCAAAAGGCTACCCGGTAATCGTCAAACGCTGCTTTTTTCTGCCACTTTACCGAAACTGCTGGTGGATTTTGCAAAAGCTGGTCTATCTGATCCCGTCCTAGGTTGGTTTTGTAATATATTTAAAGGAATTAAGGAAAAAGTATATTTTATTAGAAACTTCCTTTTTCAATTCTTATACTTCAGTTCGCTTGGACGTGGATGAGAAAATTAGTGATAAACTGTCAATGGTATTCCTCTCTTGTCGTTCATGTGATAAAGTTTCTGCTCTTTTATATTTACTTCGCTCTGTAATTCCTTCAAACGAACAAACTATAATTTTTTGTGCCACAATGAAACATGTTGAATACATAGGATCAGTTTTAAGTAAAGCAGGCTTTAATTGCGGTCTATTGTACAGTCAGCTTGATGCAGTTGCCAGGAAAATGAACATAGAAAAGTTAGTCTATGTTTTACTATTAAATTAAGTTTTACTATTAAATTAGTTTTCAAGTATCTTCAAAGCAGTATTTGTTTTATGCTACTCAAGATATGGTTTCTTGATTGCTACAGTCTTTAGGTTTCGGAAAAATAAGTGCTCATTATTAATTGTAACTGATGTAGCTGCTCGTGGTGTTGATATTCCACTGCTTGATAATGCTATTAATTTCCATTTTCCACCGAAACCAAAACTATTTGTTCATCGTGTTGGTTCGGTTTTCTCTGCTTTATTATTTTTCATTTCCTTTTTCAAAAATTGTGCTTAAGTGTTTTCTAAAATTGCCATCTTTATTAGGACGTGTCGCTCGAGCAGGGCGGTCCGGAAAGTCCTACAACCTTATAGCGCCCGATGAAATACCCTACTTGGCCGATCTTTTCCTCTATCTTGGAAGGCCTTTGGAATTTGCCAAGTCAGATTCTGTTTACGAAGGTAATTCTTCTTAATTGTTCGGCATTACCGAATTTTAGTAATTCTTAATTATTTTAGACGATAAGCCACTACTTGGCGTTTTTCCTGAAGACTTAGTCGATTTGGAAATGGAGTTTTTGAAAAGCATTCATAACGAATCTGATGATCTGGTAATATGGATCCTTGTGTAATCAGATCTGGAAGCTTCTAATTCTGAAGCTCTTAGTTTCTATATTTAATTGCTATATCAACGTGTTCAGAATGTTATTTTTTCAGAATGAACTGCTGAAAAAGTCGGAGAATGCGATTAGTAAATATAATAGAACCAGGACACAACCTTCAGCAGAATCAGTTCGCCGTACGAAAGCAGAATTGAGGCAGGCAGCGGCAGATGCTGGGATTCATCCAATCTTAAAAAACAAAGGAACAGATATTGAAAAAGCCAGAGATGAAATGCTCACACAGCTTCGGAATTTCAGGCCTAATACAGTACGTAGCATACTCATCTTTCTTTCCTTTCTGTTGTAACAAAAGCAAATATTTGTTTTATTCTGGACAGCTTGTTAGGACTTGTTTGTCGTATGAAATAATTTTGCTCATCAAAATTGAGGACAGGATGAAGGCGATAGACATAACATTATTTTCAGACCATTTTTGAATTTCAAAGTGGTAGCAAAACGGTTCCTGCAGCAGTAATGAAAAATAAACGAAAGGCACATCAGAGATACGTACGGGGCAGAACAGCAGTCGACAACAATAATATCACTGCAGCTACTACAAGTACTTTGAATGCAGACGACATTGATTTGGTTAGTTGCTATTTGGAAAAACTATTGTTAGATTTAGTAATTCTGAGTATTAAGGCTTCCAAAAGGCATGCTCAAGTTTTTATTTTGACTTACTGTTATTGGCTTTGACCTAGAAAATAGTTTGTGAACTTTCTAATAAATGGAATTTCTATAACGAGCTAAGTAAAAATCTGCAGTGAAAATGAATTTTAGTTGCGGGTTATTAGGTATTTATCTTCCATTGCACATCGTTAGGAGTTAAGAATTAAGCTTGCTACTGTTTTTTTTTCTTTGGTTTTTTTGCAATAGCTTTTTCAGGAAAACGCGTTTAGGGAAACAGTTAGGAGCACAAAATTTGTGTCACATGAGGGGAAAAAAGTTTGGAAACGTAAAGCAGAAGAACTGGAAGAAGAACGTAAACATTACATAGGTAATCCTAATGTTGAAACAATTGAAAAAAATGAGCTTCTCTAAATCCTTGCTAAATCTAAATTAAATTTTTTCCAGCTTATGCTCCGTCGGATGCTGCAACTGAACGTGCATTGGCTGTAGATCGTGGTTTTGACGCTGCTGTTAAGGCTCATGCGGTGGAAATCTTCGCCGATGATGACGAAGGTTTATACAAGCAGGCAAAAAGGAAAAGATGGTAAATTGATCTTTTGTTTTGCTGTGGGAAGTAGATGTTTCTTCAGTGAGATTAAACGTACATCTTGTTGTTGTGATCTTAGACCTTTGTATTCCTCTTTACTTATATCTAGGGATCGAAAATTAAAAAAATTTGTTGGTTATGCTGGGGATGAGCCTTCGAAAAAGAAAATTCGCACAGAAGAAGGAACGTTACTACCCGTGAGCTTCAGAAGCGGTCGATACGAGACCTGGCAAAAGAAACACAAACTTTCCTTCCAGGACCAGAACGATAGTGAAAGTGATGAGGGAGAGAGAAAAGAAAATTATTTGGCTATGGTATTTGAGCTTTAATTGTCATTCACTGTTAGCAAGCCTTTAGGATTTTTTAGCAGGAACCTCTTTCTGGTTCTCTAAATGAAAAGTAATTCTTGAAGTTCTATTTTGATAAGTTTACACTGCGAGTTCGCTGTTTTTTGCAAGCTCTGCATAAGGTGAAATAATGCTTCTTTTAGTCTTTGGATAAAAATCGTCGCAGCAACGGCTCTAGAAGACGAGAAGTGGGAGGTGTCAATCGGCATAATGGCTCTAAATCCGAACTAAAAACGAAAGAACAAATTCTTAAGGAGAGGAGAAGAAAATTGAAAGTGCAAGCATATCAGAAACATCGTAGGCAGGAGAATCTAAGAAAGAAACGTGGTAAAGAAACAAGTCGGGCTAGTCGTAAAGCGTCAGGAAAAATTTGAAAGAGTGAACTGAAGACGAAAAGTCCTTTCTTGTTGGTTGCGCAGAGAATTAAATTGCATGAGTTTGATTGCCATTAGGAATTTAACTGTTTTACTGTGTTTACCAGAGTGAGCTTTGTTTTTCCTGCAAGCTGTTCAACTATTTTTTTCTTGGAAGAAAGTGCTGAACTTTTTGTAACCTGTTTTTCCAAGATTTGTGAATGGTCACTAAGCATATATTATGCTGAAGAACTGTTGAACTGGGTTCTCAAGTACTGAGCGTTGAAAAACTGGCTTGGTTCAAGTGGATTTTTGATTGGCTATACTTAAGCTCATCGTATGATAAGAACTTGATTAATTTTTTTCAAAGCAGGGATTGATACTGAAAGTTCTTTTTGTCACTAGCCTCCCTTGGATTGGGTATTTTCATGTAGTTTTTTTAATACGTTTGTTGAAATTGTTTTTTTTTTCTTTATAAAACTTTAACTTAATGGATTTTCAGAGGGATCTTCCTTAACTGCCTAAGGGAATGCCTTAATTATGCAAGCAATTTCTATTTGTGTCAAAATACAAAACTTAAATACTGATTGAATACCTTAACTGCGGCAGCGAACAAGTTGCCTATCTAATCTGGAAGGCATAGAATCCCTTTAGGCACCTTTTTCACTGAGCATTTCATGTATAGTTAGCTTCTCAAAAAGGAAGCTGTTTTTTTCTACTCCATCTCTTTATTTAAAGATTGCCTTTTTAACTGTGCTTTGGAGTGAAATTTATTATGAGTACTTTTTTATGCATTGGTGATTACATTTACCTTATTTGTTGATTTTTGTTTGTTCTGAAGGTATTTTATCAAGAATTTGTATTCCAAATGAGAAGGGTTTGTTTTTTACTGCTTTAATTAGGATTTATTAAATTTACTTTTCCAATCATCGACTGCAGGTGTCGACGCAGATTTCTTCCTTAAGAAGCTAGAACGTGGATAGGTGAACGCCGTCAAATTAAAATTCAAAGATTCTTAGCGCTCTTTTGTTGCACTTTGGTATAAATCAGAATAGGCTTTTACAAAGCCTTTTAGAACTTATGCGAAAGGTAGTCATCCACTCAAATGTGTGAGAAGCGCTGGCGTTTGTCTGGCATGAACAGTCTCGAGGACCTTTTGTTGAAGGATGAACAGATGATACGTTGCTTGAATCTGAAAGAAGCTTGAGGACTGCTGATCAAGCAGGAGTAATCATACGTCAAGTTATTTTTATCGGGCAGCTTAAGCGGCTAGTAAGAACAAGTCTTTTACTAGCAAAGTTCATTAGGGTTTCTGTTTGCTCTTTCAGATTGGACAAATTATCTTTCAAACTACTAATTTTTATCTTATACATCATTTTCATTCCACTAATAAGTTTGAAAGCTACCCTTTTTCACAGGCCTGCTCAACAAATTGCCCTATTTTATGCTGTCACCTCTAGGTCTTCCAGTAGTTATCAAGACACTAACAATCTTATACAGCTACAAGTTCCTCAAACCTCTTCATTTTAATATTGTTATAAGATTATTTGTTGTGCATTTTCATCCGTTGGTCTGCCTGCTCGTTTTGGATGGACTAAGGAGTGCTTGTCACGCTTTAAGTTGGTATGATTAAATAGCTTTTTTTAGAGAGATTTGGTGAGATGTTTGTGCATCTAATTTGGAATGGCAATTGAAAGAAAAAGTCAGTGGCAGAGTTACTAGAACGAAAGACAAAAAGTTTAAACTAAAAAAGTAATTTGTTTTTCCAAATGGGGACTGAGGAAATGACAGGTATCACATATACAGCGACAACGGACAATGATAAATGCAGATAATGGCAGTAACAACAAAAAATTTTCTCACCATGAAAACTTATCATACAAAAGCAAAAACATCGCGCATCTAGTGACTGCAGTAAAAATTGAAAAGCAGGATAACTTTCTGCAAAAAATCGAGTTTCCGAGCGCCGGATGGCAAAGTGCAAAGTATAAATATGCTCCAGATTCAGATTCGAGGAAAAACAAAAAGGCGCAACTGCTGTAAGAAATGTCGCATTTGTGGAACGTATACAAGATGCAAAAATTTTTCCACATTCAACAGTTTTCTGTTAAACAGACAGGACAATCCAAAAAACTTTTTACCGGTCAGTTCTGTCAGTCACAATTAAAGGAAGACACAAAAAACATAGAAGTTTAATTAATTTACAGACAAAATCTAGTGATCAGAAAATGTAGTCAAAAACAACGGAGAAAGAAAACAAGGGCTTAATAATAAGTCTTTGCATAACTTCACGGCAAGCTAATTTGTTTTTGCGACAGATGTCCAGTAAAAATTTCTGAAACAAAATCTCTCAATGAGTATAAAGTGCTGATTGAAAAAAACTTTGTTTTCTGTTACTGTGAAAAACTCGTGCAAATAGCTTAATAGGAAAACAGGTTTTAGTTTTTTTACAAACTTTCGATTTATTAAGTAGTTATGTTACCGTAGAACTTTAAGCTTATTTTCTTCATCGCAGATTTGTTTACAGCGCACGAATGCCTGTACTAAACCACTGAACATCACCAAGACGATAGCCCTACTTTAACAGAACTTCGAAATATCACTGAATGCGTGAGCGTTCTATTCCAACGCAGTATATGATGGAAATCATCAAGCAGAAAACTAACAGACAGAAAAAAACAGAAGTACCAGTAACGAATTGGCGACTAAAAAAATAGAGAAAATAAAAAGACTGCTTTGCCAAAACGCTAAGATTCCGAAATTACATGAACCCGCATGAACCCTTCCTGATACTACTTTTATCCTCCGCTTGCTTGCTATCAAACCTCTTCTGATTCAGCTGGTTCGTCTACACATAACGCTGATTTAAGAAGATTTGATCGTAGACTGAAAAGATTTCCCTTTTGCAGCTATAAAATGCATACTTCGCTCCCCTTCTTGTTTGAGAAAAAGTTTTTTGGCTATTCAGTTCCGTCATTTTTTACCTCAACCCCCAAAAAGGTCACCTAAGATCCCCCTATCGTTACCTATCTTTAATAGAATTTTTATCATTCATTATTTGAAATTGCTGATTTAGGCTGATTATGTATTTCACAATTGTTGACGTTTGTCTAACTTCATTTCCTGCTTCTGTAACAACACTTTTGCTGAAAAAAACCAGGAACGAAAAAGTAAAACATAACTGTTAAACAATTTACAGTCTTAATGCTCAATGAGACTTAAAATCTTTGTTGATCACAACGTTTGTTTTCAGCAGTACTGCTTTTCAGGCTTCACGATGCAGTTAGTGCAAATTTTTTCTTTTTATCAGTTAACAGTAAGACATCTTTCGATTAGTTCCACTGCTTGAGAAAAAATTTTAAAATGAGCAGAGTTGTACCCAAAGTTTTACTTATCTCTCATTGGTATTTTATAAGCAGTTTTGACTTTAATTTTTTACAGACTAATTGGAATTCTTGGCTAACAAATTTTTTTTAGCAAAAAGGAATTAACCATTTAATGCTTACTGATATCTTTCAGCTGTCCATTATTTGCTACT